CATTATTTTAATACTATAATAATATTCAAATAACATTTTGATTTGTGGAATAAATTTATTAATTATGCTCAAGAGTTGGGTACGATTTATTAATCATATTCAAATAATATATTAATTATGCTTGAGCTATGTTATACAACGTAAAACTGAACTAAAATGTAATAATATTCAAATAAATGGCTTGAGTGTTTCTGATGAGCTTCAGCTCTGTAATAATATTCAAATAAATTTCTGGTGAACTAAAATGTAATAATATTCAAATAAATTTGTGATATGCTCCAGCTCTGTTTGACTATGCTTCAGCTCTATTTCTGATGAGCTCTTTTGATATGCTTGAGTGTCAATTATGTGAATGTGGCTACAAACACAAGACAGAAACAAAATAACTACACAGATCCTCAGCTTTAATGACAAATTTCAACAAAGGCCAACATAGGTGGTATGAAAACTATAACTGGAACCAGCTGTTTTATATGTATACAAACCCGTAGGCCAAGAAAATTCTCTAAGAATCAGCATAGTGGGACAAATCAAATTTGTAGTCATTAAATCAAGTTGCTATAAAGTTTCCCAACTCAAATGAATTGCTGAAAACAATCCAAGGAAATTATGAATACAAAAAGGCAATTAAAGCAAAAACTCAATCCAACATATCGAGATTTTGTAGGTTTGATAATTTTCAAAATCACGAACTTTGATTTCACCTGATTTTATTATCATAATACTGGATGAACTGATGTAATCTTAATAGACTCAATGTCAAGCCTAGAGTTCCACTAGTGGACCATGAAAAGTAGTACATCAGTTTATTCTTTTGTTTCATCCTCATTTCTTCTGATTATCTTACTTCCCATATCTTTTAGTTTATTTCTCAATTTAATCAATTTCATTGATGGCTTTAAATCTGAATTGTTTCTTACAAATAGAGTTACATAATCTTTTGCTTTATTTGTAGGCCTGCTTCTAAAAAATCCTATCCATCAATTTTTAGGAATTAGCTTATTTTATTAGTTGTATGGTACTCAATTGTAGGTAATGGAAGAAAATAATGTTGTTGATGAGTTTGGTAGTTGTGGTTGGAAGCCAAAATTGGGCATGCCATTTGCCTCTGAACAAGCTACGTATGAGTTTTACAATAGCTATGGCGGAAAGGTGGGCTTTGATATTAGGAAGTCATATGCACACAAGAACAAACAAACTAAGGAACTAACTTCACGGACTTTTGTATGTTATAAAGAGGGAAGTCGGGTATTGACAAGTGAGACTCACTAGTCAAATTTCCGAGACAAGAGGTGAGATGTGGTTGTGGTGCCCGGTTGAGCATCAAGTTAGATAGAAATTTAGGAAAATATATTGCAATTGATTTTGTTGAACATCATAATCATGAGCTTGTGTGTCAAGAGTGCATTCATATGTTGTCATCCCAAAGAAAAATATCTACCACCCAAGCAATTGAAGTAGAATTGGCTTCAGAATCTAGAATTCCTCTTAGGTTTGCTTATGAGCTATTAGGTAGAGAATCTGGTAGAAGAGCATCACTTGGCTTCACCAAATTGGACCAAAAAAATTATTTGAGATCGAAGAGACAAAAAGATTTGGAATATGGAGAAGCGGGTACTGTGTTACAAAACTTTCGTAAGAAAATTATGAAAAATCCATCCTTTTATTATGCAATCCAATTAGATTGTGAAGAGCGGGTAACTAATATATTTTGGGCCGATGCTCAAATGATAATAGACTATGCTCAATTTGGTGATGTAGTGACCTTTGACACTACTTACAAATTAAATAACGAGTATAGACCTTTTAGGACCTTTGTTGGATTTAATCATCATCGAGAAACAGCTATATTCGGTGTAGCGTTGATGTATGATGAGACTGCCGAATCATTCACATGGTTGTTTCAGATTTTTTTGGAGGCAATGTCAAACAAAGCTCCAAAAACTATTTTCACAGATCAAGATGCTGCGATGGCTAAGGTCATTCCAATTGTCATGCCTAATACAAACCACTGACTTTGCACATGGCATTTGATGCAAAATGCTATGAAGCATGTAAGTTCTCTTTTTGAAGATGTAGGGGTGAAGGACGTGTTTTCAAAATTTATGCATGAAATTGATGATGATGAAGAATTTAGAATACAATGGGACCAAATGCTTGATAGGTATGATGTACACAACAATAATTGGTTAAAGCAAACTTTTGGTGTGAAGGACAAATGGGGATGGCCATATATTATGAATTCTTGGGCAGCTAGAATGAGTACTACTCAACTAAGTGAATCATTCAATACATGTTTGAAGGATTATATCAATTGTGATCATAACTTGATGGAATTTTTCACGCATTTTGAGATGGTGCTCTATGACAAGAGGTATAAAGAATTGGAAGCCGAATATAATTTGTCCCAAAAATTGCCAAGGGTTTCCATTCCAACTTTGATGTTAAAGCAAATGGCAGATATTTACACGAAAACAATTTTTGAGGAATTCCAAAATGAGTGCGTGCAGTCCATTGAAGCATCCATTGTAGGCACTCGTAATGATGGTGAGAGTACCATATTCACAATTCGAACGATGGTAGATGGAAAAAAAGATAAGAATGTAATAATGGATAGAGATGGTTCTTTGAGTTGTAGTTGCAAGAAGTTTGAAGTGAAGGGCATAGTGTGTCGACATTGTTTGAAGGTGCTTAGAGATATATTTAATGCAACGGACCTTCCTGCACAATACATATTGAAACGATGGACTAAAAAAGCAAGGGCTAAAAGTATGAAAGATAGCCGTGGGTATGACGTCAAGACCGATGTGAAACTACATCAAAGCGATCGATATAGGTCATTGATGAATATGTTTAGAGCAATAGCAAGTAGAGCCGCTAAAAGTGAAGAAACTTATCATTTGTTACTTGCAAAAGGTAAACAATTGAGTGTAATGGTTGAAGACAAATTAAGTATGCACACTTGTGGTCAAGTCAAGGTCACTGAATTGAGAAATTCCTCAACTAACACATGCCCACAGAGTGATGAAATAGATTGTCCAATCCAAGCTAAGAGACTGAAGAAAAGACAAGCAACTAGTACGGGAAGAAGGAGGATCAAGGGCGGGATGGAAAAATCTATTGCAAAGAAGAAAAGAATGCAATCTAACCAGGTAATTAATTTTGTTATTTGTTATGTGATATGTGTTATCAATTTTGTGTTATGTGTGTTTGGAAAATAATGAATTAAATAAATTGGTTGTTTGCAGGGTGATGGTTTTTGTACTCCTGAAGGTCAATCTGAGCCTCATGTCGCCATGGATAACATTTGTAGTCAGGTAATATTTACTATTGTGTGCAACTTTGTATCAATCTTGTTGGATTGGTATTTTATGCAACTAGTAATATTTAATTTGGGTCTTTTGTGATACATGTAGGGTGGTTCTTTTTCTGCTTCTCAAGGTCAATCTCAACCTTCTTTATCATTGGGTAATCATTCAATACAGGTAATATTTAATTTTGTATCCAACCTTTGACATGCATAGACCTAAGGGAAATTGAACCTCATACGGAAATTGAACCTCATGTGAATTTTGTATGCAACCTTTCACTTATTTGCTTCTTTATGTTGGTTTACTTTAGGGTGTTTACACTGCACAAGGTCAATCTTGACCTCCTTTTGCCATGGGTAGTAATTATGTTGAGGTAATATATCATATTGTTGGTTTTTTAAAATGAAAATGCATTATTAATTTTTTTTTCATTTCACTTATTCTTTTCTTTATGCTGGTTTACTTTGGGGTGTTTACACTGCACAAGGTCAATCTCGACATCATTTTGCCATGGGTAGTAATTATGTTGAGGTAACATATCGTATTGTTTGTTTTTTAAAATGAAAATGCATTATTAATTTTTTTTCATTTCACTTATTCTTTTCTTTATGTTATTTTACTTTAGGGTCATGGTCGTACAATCTATATTTCTCAATGTCAATCCCAATCTCGACCTGAATCCCAATCTCAACCTCCCTTTGCCATGGGTCATACAAGTGTTCATGATGTCGTGTATCCTACATATGATGTGAGTTGTAATTGCTTACATACTTTACATTAAAATGGTAGTATAGATTCTATAAATATTTTAATAAATGTACCACTATTGCAGGGAAATAACACGCCTCAGTCAATGCCGCCTCATTCAATGCCTTTAGTATATCCCACTCACACATCGTTTCAGGAGTTGCTTCGAGGTACTAGTGTCCAACTGTTGCAAGCTTCACATAGTCCTGCTAACAGTCATGTGGATAGACATCCTTTGAAGGCTTGCACCGAACGATGATCTTATTATAATTGTGGATTTGGGTGTATTTTTTTATATTTGGTGGGATTTGGATATTTTTCATGGACATCTTCTGTATATATTTAATGTTTGGTGGGATTTTGAATTTTTGATGGACATCTTCTGTATGTATTTTTAATGTTTGGTGGGATTTTGAATTTTTGATGGACATATTTTGTATGTATTTTTAATGTTTGGTGGGATTTGGATATTCTTGATGAACATCTTTTGTATATATTTTTAATGTTTGGTGGGAATTGAATATTTGTTGTGGACATCTTTTTCAAGTATTTTTAATGTTTGGGAACAATGTTCTTTTGTTCATGTGTATGCATATATAAAGTTCTTATTATTTTCGTCTACAATGCTTTTATTGTGAGGATCACATTAATGTTTGTTTTAGTCAATATTTTGTAGTGGTTGGTGATTAGGGAAGTTGGGCAGGTTAAATTCCTTGTGGCACAGGTTCAATTCAAGTGGCACAGATTCAATTCCTTGTTGTTTGTACAAGCAGGCTTTGCCTTCATTTCTTGTTATTTTGCTTGTCTGAACTTGTTACTGTTTCACAGCATGGACAAATGTTTAGGAGTTGAAGAAGCTAGGCATTTTATGATTTCACATAACTTCATATTCACTTTCTTTTCATAGCATCAATCTTCATACATCATATACATAACACCCAATTTCATTAATTAACACAATTGACATAGCATAGCAACTTCATTAAATAAACATTGTTTGGATTGTACATGCACATATAAAAGTTTCAAAACTAAATACAAGTTCTACAAGTAGTGGTTTACACTCAGTATAAATACAAGTTCACTTGAGCAACACCACTAGCATGATAAAAGCAAACATCACTATGGTTGTCAACATCATGAATTTGATAGCTTCAAGTCGTTCTCATTGGTTTGCGTCAAGTCGTTCCAAGATATTCACAACTTCATTGTTTCTAGTAGGAGGCACTCCCCACACAAAGTAGTCACAAGCCTTATTTGCACACTTGAAATACAACTTCCCTGGATTTTTCTCTAATTCTGATATGTACACTCCTCATTTTTTCCCAGATTTGCATCTTTTATTTTGAAAGAATCCAGCATCATTGTTTGAACTCGTTGACATGTCAATCCTAATTACAAGTAAACACAAAAGTCAATTTCAAATGCAACACAGATCTAACCACAGTTGAAGTTAAGAGATGTAGGTAACAAGCATAAGATCATATAACTTCATATTATTAGCCATCAGTTTTCATAAGCATACTCCTTTACTCTTGGATTTCCTAAACGTAGACTGTCATGTATTTCTAATGTTAGACTGCCAACTCTAGTTTTCATAAGTTTTCATCAAGATTTTTATCAAATGTATTAATTTTTATAAGTATAAGCATAAGCATAAGTTTTCATAATGTTAGACTGTCATGTATTAATTTTTATCAAATGTATAAATGGTGACAAAAGTGATCTCAAGATTGTCATGCGTTTATAGTTGAGTTAGTTGCATTTACAAACTGGAGAGACAGAGCCATCAGAATGCAACAACTATATCAGAAAAAGAAAAATGGAAAGAAAAAAAAAAGGGCTGTTTCCATCAATTAATTCTTCCAATATTTAGCAGTTGGCATGTCTACTATCAATCTCTCAGTATTGGTAGGTGATCACGGTCAAGAATCTTTGTCCACAACGTCTCTCTATGTCAAAATATTCACAGCCATTAGATCAAACTGAATTAAATATGATTAACATTTAAAAAATTGTTGATCATAAAATTATCAATCCCATTAGCTTGACCTGGAAGAGAGTAAGTTATCCAATTAATTTGAACCTGCTCTTAGTTCCCATTTTGTATCCCCAACCTTGTACCAACATAATCTCAAATCCATGTATGTTCAAACATAATCTAAGCGATAGGGAGACAAAAATTTAGGGAAAAAAATGTGGATAGTTGGTCACTGAAAGACTCTACTGAGACTTCAAAGTGAAAGACTCTACTGAGAATTCAGTGGCTACTGAGAGTCACCATGCTTGAACTTGCTCAGGTAAATTGGTTCTTGAATTATATATTTACATTCTCATTAATTTCACAAATTTATTCATATATAAAATTTAAATCAGCAGAAAATAATGCAATCTGAACCATGTTGTGCTCACCATGCATTTTTGGGAACTAATGAAGCATCATTACATTATCATTAAATATTCATACTGAATCGATGTTGTTGAAGCAATCATGACCACCATTCTATTATGGAAAAATCAATTTTTTCAGGTTTTTATAACGATCCCGGTTGTCCCTTTACTGTTCTGTTGTATTCCGGACTCGGTTCCGTGAAGTTGGTAGTGGTATCTATCTTGTTGCCGTCCTTTAATTCCATTTGATTGAGTTTTAGGATGTTTTGGGCAAGGTTGTTACAGGTTGGTTGGGCTTTGGTTTCAATTCCTTGTTATTCAGTTTTTAGGCGATCCGCTCGAGCGGGTCTTCTTGCGCTCGAACGGGGATTGCACACCTCCAGTATTTCGTGTTCCTGCAAAACTTCTGCAGATGTGATTTTTACGCTCAAGCGGGTTTGGTGGCGCTCGAGCGGGTAGTACCTTCTGGATATAAGTTCTGGGAGGGGGAAATCTACGCTCGAGCGGACTGGTTTTCGCGCTCGAGCGGAAGTGCTTTATTCTTGTGTCTTAGCGCTCGAGCAGGCCTTATTGCGCTCGAGCGTGTTCAGATTTTGTTCTTGGCGCTCGAGCGTTGTGTTCTCCGCTCGAGCGGGTCATACGTATATGAGTTATCCGCTAGGTGATTTTAAATCACTTTTTACTTTCCTTTCTCTCTCCTACTTTTTCTAAAACCCATTTTGAGAGCTCCTCTCTCTAAAACCTTGACTTCTCTCTAGGTATTGATCTAGTAGGAGTGATTTCCTCACCTTTGGCCTTTACAAAAAAGTTGTTGATCGTCGAGGGCTATCTTTTGATCCGAGAAATTCGTGGGTTGGAGCATTTTCGTCTTCTTCACCTTCTTGGTTGGGAGTCATCTTTTGAGGTAGGGATATCCTACTCAAAATATTGATGTGGTCTCTTCTCCATCCGAGCTCTAACTTCGAGGTAGGGATACCCTACTCCTCTTTATGAGCTTTGTCTTTAAATTTTTGCATTTTGATATATTGGGGATTGTTGGGTAATTTTGAGAGAGTTTGGGCCTTTGTGTAATTTTACAAAAGTTGGGGTTTTTATTTATATAAAACCTAAATGCATGTTTGGCATGGAAAAGTGAAATTGATGTTGAGACATTAATGAAATTGGAACCGAAGGGTTGTAATGTTAATTATGGAAAATGCCCTAATTACATTGGTTGATTAATTTGTATAATTAATTGTTGGAAATGAGGGATTGATCTGAAAATGTGGAAATTGGAAAAGGAAAGGGGTTAAAGGGTGTAGTTGGATCATTTATCACTCACCTGGTTGAAATGTTGATTATATATATCCATTGTTGCATTTATTTTCTGTATAGAGATAACTGCTTTGGGATATCGATGGAGGATAGTCTTGATTGTTATAGACAATGCATGATGATTAGGCAAACTGGAACTAATCACTGGAATGTGTCATTGAGTATGACGGTTGAAAGAATACATTAAATTTATGTGTTGTGTGATGATGTGTATAATTATTGTTTATATGCATTGTGTTGTGTTGGAGGAGATAGGGGATGTACTCCACGGTTTAGGGGAAGATAGGGGATGGACCTCTAAACCGGATGTTGTTGGGAGAAGATAGGGGATGGACTCCATAGATAGAGCTCATATGCTTATCTATTAATGTGTTGACAGAGCTCATATGCTTGTCATTGGAAGTGTGATAGTGCTCTTATGCATATCTATGGAAGTGATGGTATAGCTTGTATGCTTATCTATTGGTGTGTGATATAGCTAGTATGCTTATCTGTTATGAAATGGGAAAGTGCTAGATATGAGTTATTGCCTCATATGAGTTGTTTGGCCAGGTTCTGAGCCATGGTTATAAATTGAGAATTTAAAAGAAATTGAAAAATGGATTGTAACATGGACTTGTATGTCATGAAACTGTAAAGTGTGATAAGGGAAAATATCAGTGTTGGCCATCTATCAACTGCTAATCTTTTAGTCATTGTTCATATTTGGTTTAGTATATTTCTACTGGGCTGTGGCTCACCCTATATGGGAATATCATTTTCAGGTATAGGTAGCACGCCACCTCCAAGGACGTAGCTTGGGAGGCTAGAGGCAGGCGGACTTTTGTTGTTTTATTTCTTTGATGTATTACATATATAATCAAGCCAAGGGCTTAATGTGTAAATGAGTTAGCACTCTTTTGTTGTAACCAAGTGTTAACTTGGAAAGCTGTAAGCCTTTAGGGCATTTGCTTTTGTTGTTAACATGTAATACTTTTGGTAATGGAACTCTGATGAATAGAAGAAAGTGGAGCTTTTATATATCAATGCATGTCTCTATTGATGGGTTTAATGTTATATTTTTTCGAGGGCGTGACAGTTTTTTTACACAAAGAATTCATGACCAGAGTGATGGAACAGTGAGTGACATTTTCTTAAAATTCAAGCCATTTTGATGACCCTTTTCTGCTAAAGTGACAAAATCAACATTTGCTCTGTTTTTGTATTGATTTTCTTTACATTTTCTTGGGGGGTATAGCATTACTATTACATTATATATTTGATGATTCTAAACTGCTAACAATATACACCATGGTTCCTTTCTATCTCAATCATGTTATATCACATTCCTCAGCTTTGATCAGCACAAAAATTCAGATTAACAGCCGAAGAGCACTTTGATAACAGCCCACAAAAATCAACACATAACAGCCAATCAACACAAAAATTCACAAAAATCAACACATCACAAAATTATGCTTCTAAACCTATGGACTAACTGACTCAACTCAACTCAACAGCCACAATTTCGAGATAAATTTTAGATTAAGTGTTACAAAAGTTGAATCAAACCAATTAATCATAGAAGAAGGGAAGAGAGAAAGAGATGAAATGAACCTCGTCAAACCAAATGTGTGTTCATCCGTCGCCTCTCTGTCTTTGTCTCTCGCCCTCGTGTTCGTCGCCTCTCCCGTTCGAACTATCCAGCTCTGTTCATCTCTATTTATCAGAGGGGCTAGGGCACAACGAAAAGGGGCTGAAAAATAAGAAGTGAAAAAAAAAATATCAAGACGACGTCGTTTTGATGCGCCGCAGGGGCGGCCGCAGGAAAGGACGACCGAAGATCCGAATTCCATGTTTCTGAACAACTGAAGTAAGGAGTGGGTCAAAAAATGAGAGTAGGGGTTAGGTGGCAATAGTATCCAAGGATGGAGGTTGTTGGGTGCTGAAAGAAAGGTTAGAAGTGGTAGACGGAATACCAATGGTGATAAGGAGGGTTGTGATGGTGATGTAGGAGAGGACTGGGGGTGGAGAGGAAATGTGGTGGTAGCTAAAAATTGTGAAACTTAGTAGTTGCCCAAACACCAAAATTAGGACTCTTTTCAATAGTAGTTTTTCACAACACAAATTGTGAAATTTCACAATTTCAATTTTGTAACTAATTTTGATGGGAAATTTTATGATACACACCTGTTTTGGAATGTGTACCATATGCTCCAATTACAACATCGGTAGTCTTTGCTTATAACCTATTATGATGTAAGTTGACTCATAGTTATGTTTCTCATGATTCATTATGGTGATAATTATGACATATTATAATTATTATATTGGCTATGATTCACAAAAAAAAATTATTATACATTGTGTTATGTTTAATTATGACTCATTATTTTTTAGTTATGATAAAAAAAAAAATTTAATTATAACATTTATAATAAATTAATATTATAAATATCATAACTTACCTATTCTAAGAATGTGTAGCATAAGATGATAATAGATCAAAACTTTTTCAAAAGCATGAGTTGTCTAAAACTTTTTTTTTTTTTTTAAAGCTGTCATCAAGTACTCAAAGTGCATAAAACCTTACGTGGATGGTTTACTTTATAATTATAGAAATCATTAATTTTAGAGCTTTAAAAAGGCTACTAATGATATGGTACTTAATAAAAGAAATATATATATATAACACTAAGATCAAAACAAATCATTCATGGTAAGACTTACTGTCACATCATTAATAGGAGCATTAATTAGTACTCTCACTCATTTTCCTTATATAATAGTACATTTAAAATGTCTTGACTTTCTTTTTAAAGGAGAAAAAGCAATACGTTGAAAATGTGCAAGCCAGCCCCCTATTTGGATCAGTTTTATTCGGTAATGGAGTCAGAAAATTAAATTAGAGGGGGCGCTTATTAATTATAATAATTTTTATAATAATATTTCACGTAAATTTTTACGATTGATTTCAAATTTTTACGATTGATTTTAAAAAATAATAATTAGTGTGTTTAATTTCAGTTTTCTAAATTCAATTTTTTGAAAACTGAGTTTTTTTATTTTTCATATTTTTTTGTTTTTAGTAAATATTTTTTAAATTTTTAATAAGTTTTTTACTTTTTTAGATGCACCTTACTTAGATGTATTTAAACAGTAAAGTATTTATAAAAAATTAATAAATACACAAAAATACAAAAAATATATTGAATTTTTGTTTTTTTTTGTTATATTTTTTGGTATTTAATGTATTTTCTAAATATTTTTTTTACAAATATTATACTTTTTAAGTGTATTTATGTTAAATGTGTCTAAAAATTAAAAAAACTATTTAAAATATTAAAAAAAATCATTCAAAACATTAAAATACGAAAAATAAAAAAATAAATTTTCTGAAAACTGGAAACAAACAAACTGAATGTTATTTGTAACTAATGTATCATGGACGATACAAAAACAAATGGATATAAGCCTTAAAATAAATTATATAATGATAAATTATTTTTTGATACAAAATTTTATTAAAAATTCAATATAATGGTAATACCACGTCATCATTGGTATGTGATATCACTTACTAATGGTAAACAAACACATAAAGAGTGAACCTCACATGTCAAATATAACTAACAATCTAATAAATTCTATTTTTTTATAGAGATTACTTATATCTGCATATCACTAATAATGACATCGCCGTTACATTCAAAAAATTTCATAACTAATATGGTTTATTTATAATAAACTCTTCATTTTCAATCAAAATAACTATTATTATTTTCATAATTTTTAAAATGTAATTGACATTTCACTCTAATAATATTTGTATAATTTTTTATTTAAAATATTTTTTTTATATTTATAAAAAAAAAATCCCAAAATTCAGGAGCACGTGACCCCCTCCGCCACTGGTTTTATTTATTTATTTATTTTCTGCTCCCAGTTTTCCAAACCTTTTTCAACTTTTTTTTTTTATTTATTGTAACATCGAAGGCCAAATCTTATTCGACAAACCCAAAAGCCAGCTTTTTCTATTTGGATATACTTTTTTTAACACATCAGCTTTTGTATACTAATATGTATTTATTTTCTTTTTAAAAAAAACCCGAAACTTTTTAGCAACTTTTTGTTTCTCATAACCAAAGTCAATCTAATTTGACAAATGTTTTGTAAGGAGATCTTCAACCTTTACTCATGTTTTTACTTAAATTTAAATAAAAATTTGAATAAAAAACTTCATGTGCATGTAAGTGCCAAAATTGTAAATTTAAAAGTGATTAAATAGTCTGTACCCAATATATATATATATATATATTAATTTTAGTAAAAAAATTAAATAAACCTCCTTTTAGTATGAGTTCGAGTAAAAGAGTAAAGAAAGATGTGAAGGTTTTTACTCAATTAAATTTGATATGGATAAAGAGCTCCACCCAAAATTTCAAAAATTAATATCATATTAAATTTTTTGAAGGCTTAAGCGACCTATATATATATATATTTGATATTTTTTAAAAAATAAGTAATTCAATCGACATGTCAAATTTATTATTTTTTTTTAACTTTGTAAAATTTGTATACCAAATTTTCTTGTGAGTCTCATATAATAAAGAAGTCTGAGAAAAAAAAAATTCACAAATTTGGCATAGGGAATGACATTAATGTCACGTGACATTTGATCATTCGGTTAGAGATTGTTGAAGTACTGAAGAAAGGCATCAAACCTGTACTCATTCATCTTGCATAGTAGAAAGGCATCAAACAAGTTGCCTGCAAAAGTATAACATACTCTGCACAAACGCTTTAAATATTATCCATTCTTGTGCATTCTGTGTTCGTAGAACAACCGATGACCAAATCACCGAACAACATTCTATCACTTAGTAGCTGGCAGCTTTCGATGAGCTATTCCTTTTCCGGTGGCGTTGTTTCTTGTCAATGTTGCTACTTCGTGAAGATTTTGCTTTGTGCTGCTTGTGCTTGTGCGGATGACTCTTCTTGTTCATCTGTCTTGTCACTGTGTGCGATTGGGATATAGGAGGCGGGTCGTACACATCAGCTGCCCAACTGACACTCATCTTCTCAACTTGGAGTCCTTGTTTCTCACGACTCCCTTTCATAGCAGAGACAACTTTCAAAGAAGTCTGACAAAAGCAAATGGCAAAAACAAAGGCGGATTATTTATTAGTCAACATATGAGATACCTGGAAAACTATGCTAATACTAGGGTCGTCATGAAATTGCATAAATTTGCATCAAAGAGTCACTTTAAAAAAAAATGCTACAAAAAATAAACAGGTTCAAGGAAAATGTATCGACTCCTGTAAGATGCAATGCATAATTCGTGTTCAACAGAACATCCAAATACCCTGTCCATGCAACTTGGGAACAGGAAACAGATCATCAAATTGAATTTCTTTTCAAGAATATAATATGCACAAGATGGACTTAAAGCTCCATAAAACATGAAATTTCAAAATGTGTATTCATTGAGTATAATTAAAAGAATGAAATATTATTAGAACTGAATTAAAACTATAATCTGAGTTGCATAATGATAGATATTGAGGCACAGGAAGAAGAAGCAAAACAAGTGTACAGGCCGGAAAGTCAGGCTATTTTTAAGAAAAATATCAGCACACTATTAAGAAAATGAACGCTTCATTTCATCAGCTGGAAGAAAGAGACGAAAAAGAAAAGGAGCTTTTTTGTTTGTTGGGAAAGAAGAAGAGCTTAGAGTAAAATCTAATAAGTTTGGCTTAATAAATCACCAATAATTGGCCAAATGTGACTGATGACTAAAGCTAGTGGCTTGATTTGTGGGTTCCATGTTTCAGAATTCATCCTCCAAACATCATATGAGAAACCTAACATCGAAGACAGAATAACAGCAAATTTCTTGCACTGCACTGAATGTACAAATCTTAATTTGATAACAAACCTTGGAGGACAGCTGGTTTGAAAACAGTGCTACCTTGTCCAGGATATCCAGGGATTCTATCACTGAAAAGGTTCTTTGATTGAGGCCAAATTGTGTATCATTGAGGCCAACAACTAAGATTTCTTAACCTTATTCTCTATTCATACACTTTACTTCGGTTTAATGTCAATTAGGTTGGATGCAATGAAAGCACAAAATGAGCAAAAACACAACATTTTAGCCACAAAAGTACTTCCCGCAAGTGCGGAGGACCATTCTCGCACATGTGGCCCATCCAATGAAGCCAAACAAAGACTGCAAAAATTGCACGTGCAGAGGTTCACCGGATGGAGAGGAGATGGTGCGCCAGTGGTGAGGTGCCGGTGGTGACTAGAGATGGGGTGAAGGTTGGAGGAAAAAGGGTTGGTGATGGTGGGGTTTGAGTGAGTAGAGATGGGGTGAGTCAGCATTTAATTTATTTAATTTTTATTCTTTTTGAAAAATCCGACACGCCAAGGACTTGCCGCACATGCGGCCACTCTCGCGCATGAGCCCCCGCTCATGCAATTAAAACAGTAGCGAATTTTTGTCTAAGCAATTTTTCCGCACGTACGGGAGCCAAGCCGCATGTGTGGCTTGTTTGCCGCACCAACCCTCCGCACTTGCAATTAAAACAGTAGCCAAATGGGGGACCTGGTGTTTTGCCGCACGTGCAGGAAACCAAATACTCCCCCAGCCCAACTTCTACCTCTATTTCACATTAGAAATAAGAATAACACTTCAAAAACATCTAAATGCTCCACAAAGATAATCTTCACGTGAAAACCATGAGTACTACTTTTCTCCCTAACCACGTTTGTAACTTTCCCTATTCTCCAACAGGGTGATAAACTAGGTTGATTTGGTATCCAAAATCAAGGCACCTAAAGCTAACTCAACCTATGGGGCTGCCATACAAAGTTCAAGCCGAGGCGGTTTTAAAGCAATCTCCACACCCCTGAGTATTTAAACTAGACTTTAGTCTTGAAAATTCTAAACCTTTGCGTTCTAGGCTTTGCCATTCGAACTCTGATTTCCACTGTCTCAATTGGTCTCCTAGGAACTCACTACAAACACAGTTAGGTGACTGTACCAGACCGCCAGATGCCATTCGGGGCACGACTAACACTAAAAGAATTACACCTTTAGAGGATTTAAAATCTCCTAGACATCAAGCACAGGATAGCAAGAATAAAATTCAGGAAAGAAAGAAAGCAAAACAAGACAAAACAAGAATTTCATGTCTCAATCATAATAAAATAGGTCCATCAAAACAATGGACTCAATCATATCTCCATTCTCAATCCTCTCTATCTAAGGTTTCAATCATTGGCCATTCACCTTGAAGGTGTGGCCATTCTGTGGATCTTGCACCCCAATGGCGCTATGGATGAACGCCTCGACGACCACATAGAGGCCATCCCATCTTGACCTAAGCTTCCCCGAAAAGAGTCTCAATTTCAAATTAAAGAGCCATGCTTTTTGGCCGGGCTCAAATGATTTGCGATTAATATGTTTATCATCAAATTCCTTAATCCGAACCTTAAAGATTTTCGAGCTCTCATATGCATCATTTCTAATCTCCTCTAACTTATTGAGTTGCAATTTCAGATTAATTCTAACTACGACCATATCAAAGTTAAACCTTTTTATAGCTCACAATGCTCGATGCTCAAGTTCAATTAGGAGGTGACAAACTTTGCCAAACACCACCCTATATGGTGTCATCCCAATGGGTGTCTTATAAGCAGTGCGGTAGGCCCATAAAGTATCAATTAAACGTTTTAACCAATCTTTTCTATCCGGCCTAACCGTTTTCTCAATGATGTTCTTCACCTCCCTATTGAATCCACTAGTTTGAGGGTGGTATGGAGTGCCAACTTTATGAGTGATGAAGTATTTTTTGACTACCAACTCAAAGGACTGATTACAAAAATATGCACCCTGATCACTTATTATAGTCCTAGGAAACCCAAAACGACTAAAAATGTTTTCATGCAAAAACTTTATTACCACTTTATAATCGTTTGTTCGGGTAGCTATAGCTTTCACCCATTTTGAAACATAGTCTACCGCCAAGAAAATATACTCGAAACCAAACGATGACGGGAAAGGTCCCATGGAATCAATACCCCAAGCATCAAAAATCTCAACTACTAAGGACATTGGCATCATATCTCGACAAGACACCGAACCAATTTGCTGACAGCGCAAACAAGTTCTACACAATTGATGGGCATCTTTGAAAATGGTGAGCCAATAAAACCCGTTCTATAAAACCTTGGTGGCCGTTTTATACCCACTAAAATGACCACCACATGCAGAAGAATGACAAAATGTAAGAATGTTATGCACCTCACTGGTGTTGTTTGGTGCAACTTATATTAAGCTAAAAGCTGATAATCAAAAAACGGAAACCAAAAGCACTCCTTCCCCAGCTTCTAAATAATCAGCCTTTTTCAGCTTATATAAGTTATTTCTGTCTAAAAAGCTGTAAGCAGAAATTGCACCAAACAATCTGACACAGATTCCCAAATTATAATAAGCTATAATCACTCCCTATAATCCATACCAAACACCCTCACTCTCTGGCACACTGCCGGATCACTTGATCGGGACAATATTTAAACAACTATGGATCCTCCCAAAAATAACACCTGGCTTGTGAGAAAAAATCAGTCTTTGTCTTGCTTAGACCAATTCGTAGAAATCTGCCCAACGGCTAAGTAATTTACAATATGAGCAAACCACGGGAGGTTCGCTCATGACACCACAAGAAGTTTGTCCAGAAACGAATCATGTAAAGCTAAAAGGTCACTAGTGTGCTCAACAAGGACTCAGGAGAGATGATCCGCCACCATATTCTTAGACCCTTTCTTGTCTCAAATTTCTAGGTCAAACTCTTGAAGGAATAGAATCCATCTAATCAACTTAGGTTTTGTCTCTTTTTTTGATAATAAGTACCGCAAAACGGCGTGTTCAATGAAAACTATGACCTTGGAACCTAGGAGATTGGACCGGAATTTGTCCAAGGCAAACACCAAGACAAGCAACTCTTTGTCGGTGGTAGTGTAGTTCAATTGTGCATCTGAGAGAGTACGACTAGCATAATAAATAACATAGGATGCTCGATTCACCTTTTGGCCCAACACAGCCCCGACAGCATAGTCCGAGGCATCACAAACTTTATTTATGTAATTAGTAGTGAATTCATTGTCCTAAGATTTTTTTCCAAAAATCAGTATCGCAAACTTTATTTTTAATTGTCAATTTAATTTCTTAGTTCATTTTAATTATCATTAGTCTATGAACCATCAATCTTGTTATCAAAATTAATTTAAGAATTCAACAATTAAATTAGTTTAATTTCACATTTGCCCCTGTACATCGACACTTGGATTTACCATTATTCTAAGGAATTAGGAACAGTTTAGTGTTTTTTTTTGTTGTGTAAAACGACCGATCATTCTTCGTAACTCTTGAATATGGCTGTGATTTGTGTCTTGTTTTTACGATGCATTTAAAATACACTTAAAAATGAAACAAGTAAAGAACTGGAAAGAGAAGATTTTTGACACAACATGTGAATCCAAACTAAGATATGAACTTACACAAACTAATTACTATTACCACATGACCCTTAGTCTTACTTGCATAGTTGTGTTATAGACAAAACATAGCTGATATCCGAATAAGGTACTTCTGTCAGTACTGGAATCATAATAATATAAATACCCCCTCCATGACCCTTATGTTTTCATGCTCACCTAATGAAAGTTGGATTAGAGATAGTAATGAGAAGCATTGATATTAAATGCATTCAAAAAATAATGAGTCCATCAAGATTTAAAAAGGGTGACCCAATGCACGAGACTCCCACTAAAGCGGTGTATGGGAAAGGCAAAATGTGCATAGCCATACCCCATCAAGATTGTACACAAAATTTTATATTATCATTTCATGGACGTTAAATGCAAAATATAAGAAGCTCAAGAAAGAGTAAATTCAAAAAAGTTGCAATATTTAAAAATTGGCATAATTTTCAAAGAAAAATTGATAGGAACCATTCATGATCATGTTTCTAGTATTATTAGAGTCTTATTTTATCATTACTTTATATTTTCTAGAATTTGTAGGTTAGGGGTATTTTGATAATTTTCATATTTGCTGAGATGGGTTATAGGAATCACCCATGGATCAAATTATTTAATTAGATTTTATTTATTTTTCTTATTTGGTCTTAAATTGGTTTTGGAAATCGAAGATATTTTAATAGCTTCATTTTTTTGTTCTAGTTGGTTTAAGAAGTATCCTAATTCTATATAAAGCCATATAATGCTTATAATTTAATAGAGTCAATATTTAAGAGAATTTTAGGAGTTTTGAAGCTCCTTTATAGATTGTGTGATGCAATCAAAACCCTAAGTGTGATTCCTAGATCTATCTTCTTCTTTTCTTTTCTCTTTCTTGAATATCAGCACTTTCACAAGTACTGTTCACAGCACCCCAAAACAGCCCCTAAGCAGTGTCAAATCATCCCCAAAAGCCCACTGTTGTGTCTGTCTTTAATCATCCTACATCAGGCTTCATTACTAGTTCCGGCCAAGCAGTTGAATTTGAAAATAAACTACCCTGTCTGACTATGCTTCTAAGTTTTTAGCATTTTAATAATCTGTGTTGATATGAAGTCCAAACAGAGTCTGAAATGAGTAAAGTTGATGCAGTACAGTTCATCTCTAATGAAATGCAGGTATTATAGTATGGACCTGGAGAGACGACATGGACAATGACAAGTTGAAAAAACCAGTAAACAATATTAAACAAAGTACTTCATCAAATATAAAGTTTGATTTATGAATCAGGATCTTACAGGAAGAGACATTGGATTGCCAGATTCTAAAGAACAATGTTCATCCAATGCTGCATTTGATATCTTGTCGTTACCATTCACACGTACATCATGGAAAAGCACATTTCCGGAGCATGGTAATGACACATTCTCTCCCAATTTTGTATTAGATGTTAACATCGAAGGTTCATCTTGATTAATAATCAACTCCCCACAATCTTTGTTCTTTTCTACAAAACAAACCTCACACCCCTCCAAGTGTGGAGCTGAAGTAGATAGCAAAATTAGAGCATCTTCAAGAGCACTTCCCAGCTCTGCCACCAAATCAACTTCCTTAAAGTTACTCCATATCTGCCCCCAGTCATTGAGGCCAAATAAATCTTCCTTAACTGGGTCAGGATATTGAACTGAGACGCCCATTAGTGAAATCTGGCACTTATAACCTTAAAAGAAGAAAGAGGAGAGAAAAAAGTAAAGATATGGAATCGAAAATCCACCAAAAGCAAACACAACCAGATATCCACAAATAAGTCTTCATTAATGTTGTGAAGATAAAAATTGTAGGTAGCTCAATTGACATGTACAAGTACATTAACTTGAATTCTCAAACAGCAGCATAAGCATGATTCTTTTATGAAAGAATGAACACGCAGAAATACATTCACAACTGAATTAATCTGCCATGATTCTTTAGTCATAACAAGTGCTAGCAGTTTCAATTTAATTTAATATCTATGCAGTACAAGACTGCAAATGTAGATCAATATACAAAAAGATTCTAGGCTCAGAGAGTAGGCAAAAGAAAAGATGAAGAACTGAATTAACAATCACAAGAATTATGTGACACAGCAATCCGGAGTTAGTGGGATCTGCACACAGTTAGGGAAAGGGTAACAAACATATTTTTATACAACGGTCATTCATATTATGTGAAGCAAATAACTAATTTGTTTGATTTGTTTAAGGTTTTATCAATTACATAACTTCAAAGACTAAAGTTGAATCACATAACACACTATATCCAATACAATAATATTTCTACATCTTCTCATCCTTATTGTAATCTTTTACTTTCAACTAAATTATTTTTTCTCTTTAAAAGGATTAAGTCATGGCCAAAAGATTGTGAGTTTTCATCATTATTTATGCTAAGGTGTAACTTACAAAGAATTTAGGGTAAATCACACCGACAAGTCCTGTAATTTATCTCATTTATCAACTTGGTCATGCATTTCCAATTGTATCAATTTTGCATTAGTTTTTCACATTGTGAGGGTAAAATAATCCGTTCAAAAGGGAATGGTCCATTTCAAATTGGATAATAACCCTTAATCACTTTGAGGAGCGCGTGAATGAACTGTTTTATATTTCAATCCAATTTCTAAAGAGGCATTATCGATTGAACTAACTGACACGATATGAAAAAATTAAGGATACACATTAATATTTACATGATCTGACATTGGTATCACCGTCTGTCACGCTGAAATCTGAAATCTGACTACCCTTTATGAAATCTTTGACGTCCTAATGTTTGCATTATGTATTAGTTTCGTTTTCTTAAATTCTTAAATTCTTGGTCAAATTACAGCCATAGTCTCTGTAATTTATCTCTTCAATTAATTTGGTCCATATAATTTTAATTGCATACAAAGCTACAAATACAGGGCCCAAACAAATGAACACTTGCAAACAGTAAATTTATGAGAGACAAGTACCTCAACTCAACGGCGATGATTTGAGCTTAGAACCAGAATCAAGAGCCTCCAAATCCACCAAACAGAAGTCGAATCAAAATCCAAACCAATCCACGTTACAAAACCCTAGCCCTAACCACCAGATCAAAATTCAAACACAAAAAAGAAGCCCTAGAAACGAATGGAAGCTGAACGTCAACTCAAAAAACCGTGGCCAATCCGCTGCTTGAGACGATGGGAGCAGGAACCGCCATTGAAAGAAGCAGTGAACGGAGTCATGATGATGATGATGATGATGATGATGGTGTTGTCGGAGGAGCTGTGGAAGAGCGATGCGAGCACAACAGAACGCATCTACTCCCCGTTTGCGAGCACAACAGAACGCATCTACTCCCCGTTTGTTTTGAGGGCAGAACGAACGGGATTAATAGTGAGCATATTGACAGCGAAGGAATTGATGGCGAGGGTGATTGAGTAAAATTGTGTTTGTTTTGATGGCAGTTGTTGATGTAAGATTTGTTAAATTATTTTTATATAAAATAATAAAATAAATATAAAAATATTAAATATTAATGTTTTAAAAAAATATCTGACATGTAAAAAAAATTATAAAAAAAAAATAGAAAAAATAAAATAAATAAAATAATAATTTTTACTTTAAAAAAATAAAAAATTAAATATTAATGTTCAAAAAAAATGCTCGATATGTAAAAAAATAAAATAAAAAATAAATAAAAATAAAAAAAAATTTAGTCCGTTAGACTATTTTTCTAATATCAAGTCTGGAAGGCTCATTCGAATTCTCTTGAAAAGGTCTATTCTAATCCGGAGCTGACTATCAATCTCCTCCTCATCTCTTAAGATAGACATAATATTAACGAATCTTAGCTTACTATCAATCTCAATTTTCTTTCTAACTCTCCAAATAAACGGACTCCTAATCTAATATAATCTAATGAAAATTTTCAGCATTCAGAAGAATCCAAATTTATCTCGAAAATTGTTCAACATTTGGGGTTGTTGGATTTGGATATTTTTTGGTATGAGATGTGATGATAGATAGATGGATAAGCTTGGATTCAAAATGGAAATGGATTAATAAATATAGGAGAGGGAGTGAGAAGGAATAGGTGGTTGGAGTTTTGGAAGGTGATGCTGGTGTGCGCGTTGACCGGGTAATAAAGGGTTATCTGAGATGATTTAAATAAATATATTAAGTTTAAAATGATGTGATAGAGATATAATATAATTTAAATAAGGTAATATAATTTAAATAAAATAATAATTCTATTACTTTTTAACTTTTTTAAATTATGTCAAATCAAACCTAATTTGACATCATCATGAAGCAGGTAGATAGATCGAGTATAGGGCAAATTATTAAAGCCCCGTTTCAACACATCATGGAGCTTAAAACAGTTATATGATTATTTTACTTAAATGAGATAAAATGTTGTGTTTAATTTATAATTATTTTATTTTTTTTAGTAAAGTTAAAAAAATTATTTTAAACGCGATTTTTCAATTTCAAGTTAAAACAGTTAAAAAGTTAAAAAATCAATTCACATTTCAAACGAAGCTTAAGACTTGCTTTCGGGATAGAAAAAAAAAGTTAATTTACCTGTTTTTTGTTTTTTTGAATATATAAATAATAATAATAATAATAATGCAATTTAAATAAGTTAATCTTTTTCATGATTTCAGAAAAAAGCCCAAGCGCTCTTGTGTGTTTATTTACATGTGGATGTGGTTTCTTAAATTGGATAAATGAGCATGGGCTCGATGATATTTTTAGAATTTTCAACAAATATTTAATTAAGTGTGTGTTTGGAGTTTGTTTGTTTGATTTTTTTTTTCTCATTTTTAATGGGTTTTTTTTAAGTTTTAAAAAATTTAAATTTCTAAATTTAATTTGATGAGACAAACCGAAAAATTTTAAAAATTTCAAAAAAAAATAGCTTTTTATTTTTTTCTAGAAATTTTCAAAAAAAATTATTTTTTATATTCGTCTATAAAAGACGTACCGAGAAAGTAAAATATTGTTGCATAAAAATAAATTTTGAAACAAAAGTCACCGAAAACAAAAATAAAATAATTTTTAAAAAAAAAGGTGATTTATTTAACTCACCCCAAACAACTCCTTAGTTTAATTATTAATTATGTGTCATATTGTTAGCAAAAAATTAGTTTAAGCCCTATCGACAGGAATTGATAGACAGGCATGAACAAATTTCTAAATAAACATAAAAGGATCTGGTTTTGTGGTTGAATTTTATGCCTTAAACAGATTAAGAACTTTTCTGGAGGTAATTAAGTAAAAAAGGAATGGAAAATAACAAAATATGTATTTATTCAATTAACTTGTCATTTGTTACTAGTTACAAGAACAAATGAATAAAAAAATACGGTAATTGACAAAAAGAAAAGAAATGAGGGTTGGAGAAAACTATCATTAATCTACTCTTAACAATTGTTAAATTAAAGTACTCCTAAATAATTCTTCACGATTTGTGAGTAGTTATTGATGATTGATTGATTGATCTTTATATCTCTCTTGGCCTATTTATAGGCTTAGTCACATGAGATAAAAAAATAACCTAAGCCCACGATTTCCTCAATATTATCCATATCCCATATTTGATAGGAACAATTTTACATATTTGGTGTTTGATTTGATATTGACTCGTTAATCTCAGTAATTAACTTCCAAAATGTTGCAAGTGCGAACTTTCTGACTCTTCATTTAATATATCATCATGTTATGTCATTAACACATCTGTCACGTCACATTAACATACATGTCGACATAAATAATAATAATAAAAACAATTATAGTTAAGGTTTTTCTTTGAAAATAGTTTATGAGTTCAATTGACAAACCATAATCAAACTTGGCATAATTAATACACCACAATGAACAGAAAAATAAAATATGATGTAAAAACAGATAAATAAGATTTTAGAATTTAAATAGAGCTCACTTCAATAATGTGCATAAAAAATAAAATTTTAGAATATAAACCATACCTTACTTTAATAGATATCATGAATAATAAAATTTTGGAAAAAAGATTCGGAGCTCTAATTTATGAGCTGTAAGAGCTCTAATGGGAAGTGGACCCCATTGTGATATAATGTTTTGGTCTTTTTAAATTTTTTAATTTTTAATGTCATTAAAGCTCAATTAGGGCATCCACAATGGATGTGTTAAAGTGTGTTATATGACAAAAAGTGTTAAAAGTGGGACAAAAAAATGTGTGGTAAGAGTTTGTTAATTTAGTGAGTGAATATCGAATGAATGGTGATACAATTTGATGTGTTAAGGGATGTATTAAGGTGTATGTTAAGAATATATATATATATGTATATATAATAAATAAATAATTTAGTTTAATTAAAAATTTCAAGCCCAAAAAAAAATCCTAACAAGTAAAAAAAAAAAATTTGCCGTTGACCAATCAACCGATCAAATCAATTTTTTTTTTTTCTCTTTTCTTGAAGGGTCCGAACATCCGGGGTGAACTTCCGGCCGGACGTCCGGGAGAACTTCCTCCAGGCACACTCTTCTCTCTTATTCGCTGGCTAAAACGCTCGCTGCAGTTAACAAACAATCTAATAGCTGATACTAACGCACAACACTAACACATTCATTGCAGCACCCAACAATATTTTTGGCTAGCCAAAAACTAACACCTGACACTAACAAACTCATTAACGCATGCATTTTGGATGCTCTTAAAATTCTAAAATTAGAGAGATGTATCATTGTTAAAAATTTTGTAAGCTATTATTATTGTTTTTTTTAAATCTTTGCAAATTTACCCTAAATTGAATTTTAGACAATAAACCAATGGCATGTGGCAAGCTGCCTTGATTAAATTTGAATGTTAGAGGAATAGCATAGGGCTCATTTGGGATGGAAATTTGGGCTAAAATAGTCATATAAGATAAAAATAAACTATTTTAGTCAAATAGAACAAGATGTCACATCCAATCTATAATTATTTCATTTTTCTCTCAAAAAGGTCAAAAAGTCTATCCCAAATGAAACTTTTTAACCATAGGCTAAAATAGCAAAAAAGCCAACTCACATCCCAAACAAGCTCATACTAGGGGTTAGGGGTGAAATCGGTTCGGTTCGGTCAGTTTTTTCAATAGTTTTGCACCGAACCGATAATTTCAGTTTTTCATATTTGTGAACCGAACCGCCTAGAAAAATGACATAAACCGGTGTGGTTCGGTTTATTACGGTGCGGTGCGGTTTTTTGACCTTTTTTTTTTTCTTAGTTGGGCCTCACATTTTGGGCCTATATTTCTATCCATTTTTGCATAAAAATTTGGACTCAGGCCATGTAATTCCTACATAGGTTTGGGGCCTCACATTTTGGGCCTATTAATATTATATAAGTTAGTTCGGTTCGGTTCGGTACAAAAAAACAAAAACAAAAATCGAATCGAACCGAACCGAACCGAACCGAACCGAACCGAATGATTGAAAACTTAAAACACCGACCGAAAACCGTTCGGTTCGGTCAATTTGGTCGGTCCTTCCGGTTATTCTTTCACCCCAACTAGGGGTGGGCGTGGATCGATTGCGACCACGAAACCTTGAATTCGCTATCCGTTCGCCAGATGGGTGGATTGGAAAAAATCAATCTGCATACGTCCGCCAATCTGGCAGATGTGAATTGAGCGGATTGGCGGATGAATGTGAATCAGTTTGGCGGTTTAAAATTTTATAAATTTTCAACATAACTTAACTTATGCACTTTCTCAACAACAAAAAAAAGTATTACAATCAATGACTTAAAAAAGTATTATAATCACTACATGCATTATTCACATATTACAATCACAGCATATCTCATCCATATAGAGTATTACATAAAGTATTACAATCTGTGATTCTTAAAATATAAAAGCAATTCAAACCACCAAAACCACGAAAAGAGCTGTAATAAAGATTGTATGCCTTTGTATTGTTACATCTATATCTGTTTTTAAAAACAAAAACCAAACATCATATATCATCTTTTTTATTTATTATTTTTAGAGTTAGATTTAAAAACCAAAAAATATAGATTAATAATACATTTATTTTTTTTCAATTCAAAAAATATATTTAAGTTGAAAACTCTTTTTCGATTGAAAACACAAATAAAATATCTAAACAAATTGAAAATACAAAGTATTACAAATTATTAGAGGTGCTCGCGGTTTAGCGATTCGGTTGCGGCCAAATAAATCTCAAATCTGTCATTCATCCAAAACTAGGCGAATTGAAAAAAAAATCAATTCGCAACTGTTCACTCTTCATCACACATCTGTCCAAAATGCGACGAATTGATTCAGTTCGGTCGGTTTAGACGAATCGATATATCTG